AAACCCTCCCCAGGCTTCCCACTGTAGTTTGACAGTCTGTTCAATGTTGCTCTGCCTCTGCATCTACCCCTGTTCATCAGTCTATACTGGTCCCCATTATCTGTCCCAACCTCACTGGAGCAGTCCCAACCTCACCGCGGCCGTCCCGACCTCACCGGGGCCGTTTCAACCTCACCGGGGCTGTCCCGACCTCACCGGGGCCGTCCCTACTCCCCCATCTCTTAAAGAAGATAAACCCTCTCATTGTATAGTGGATGGCAGGAAAATCAATACTTCATTCTTTTTTATGACTTAATAATATTTCATTGTGTAGATATACCGTATTTGTTTTATCCATTCATCAGTTGATGAATGTTTGAATTTGTTTTGGCTGTTATGAATAATGCTGCTAAGAACATTCATGTGCAAGTTTTTATGTAAACAAATATTTTCAGTTCTCTTAAGTATATACCCAGAAATGGAATTATTGAACCATATGGTTAATTCTATGTTAAACATTCTGAGAAACTGTCAAAATGTTTTTCAAAGTGTGTTAGCCATTTTTCAATTCCATCAGCAATGTATGTAATTTCTCCATATTCTCACCAACACTTGTTATTTTTTATTTTATTTTAGCGATCTTAGTTGGTGTGAGGGGGTACTGGGAGTGGGGAAGGACATGTAATGAGAATAGAGCCACAGTTGTCTAATAATTATTCACCTCACTAACTGTAGATAAGAAGTTTTCTTACAGACCCTGGGAAACTGGAGGATGAAACAGGCCTGTAAAAGATAAGACACCTCAGAGCCCAGATGGGCCCATTACTCAGAAAGGAAATACATTTTGAGAGCAGACCAAGGACAGGACATGCTTTGATTTGGTTGCTGCACCTGGACCCTGACCCCCTCTGGGAGTTTTTCTCAGAAATGCTGACCATTCTCCAGTCCCAGGAATGGGCTGAGCTGTTTGTAACATCATAGAAGATTAGCCACCTTGTTATCAGACTTTGAGCTTCTGAAGGTTGGACTGCAGACTCTACCTTCCCCTTTTCATGTTACAATTGTAGCTCACAGCTGCATGTAGTTATCTTTTCCCTCCTGTGTATATAATCAGCCAACTGACAAGGGGGGTCAGAGCAGATTTTTGTGGATGACCTGCTGCTCTCCCATACTGCCAGCATTTTGGAGTAAATGCTGATATGATTCAACCCTGTATCCACTTAATTGGCTCAAGTGGTGACAGGCAGCCCAGAACCCCTTGGTTGTCCGGTTACATAATCTCATTGTGGCTTTGACTTGCATTTTCTTGTTGACTAATGATGTCTCACGAGCTTATTGGCCATTTGGATATCTTCTTTGGATATTTCCTTTGTCCATTTAAACATTGGGTTATTTGTCTTTTTTTGTTGAGTTGTGGGAGTTCTCTATATAGTCTACATAAAACTCTCTTGTCACATATATGATTTGCAGATATTTTCTCCCATTCAATGGGTTGTCCTTTTACTTTCTTGGTAGTATCCTTAGAGGCACAAAACTTTCAAATTTTGATCAAGTCTAGTTTATCTGTTTTGTTTTGTTTTTTCTCACTTGTGCTTTTGGTATCATATCTGAGAAACTCTGGCTTAATCCAAGGCCATGATGATTTACATCTATGTATTTGCCTAAGAGTTTTATAGTTTTAACTCTTATGTTTAGATCTGTGATCCTTTTTGAGTTAATTTTTGTATAGTCTGTGATGTAAAGGTCCAAATTCATTCTTTTGCGTTTGGGTATACAGTTTTCCAGCACCATTTGTTAAATATTTTGTTGTTGTTGCTGTTAATTCTTATCCAAAGAGTTTTTTCTCTCGTTGATTTTTAGAGAGAGTGGAAGGAAGTGGGAGACACAGAGAGAGAAACATGGATGTGAAAGAGACGCATGGATTGGTTGCCTCCTGCACGTGTCCTGACCAGGGATCAAGCCTGCAACCGAGCTATGTGAGCTTGACTAGAATCAAACCTTAGACCCTTCAGTCCGCCAGTAGAAACTCTATTCACAGAGCAAATCGACTAGGGCTAAATAGATCTATTTTTCAATGTCCCCTTTTCTGCAGGCAGCTGCTCCCAGCCCCAGCCCCTCTGCTGCCTTGGAATAGATAACCACTGCAAGAGTGGAAACTGCTACTGTGATGCATTCTGCCATGAGGCATCAGACTGCTGCCCAGACCACCACGCCCTCTGCAGCCCTGGTAACTCACATGCAGGCACCTTTCCACCCCTCCTAGACCCGAATGCTGTGATTGACAGAGACAAGCCCTTCGTATCTACTTCAGGCCAAGGTCAGCATGTGAACCCCTGAGGTCCCTAACAATCCTGAGAGCCTTGCATTCTGTCCATGTTACGTCAAAAGTGCCTACACATTCCTTGCAGCTTTGTTTCCCTGCTGCTCCATACCACCTGCTGCTCCCTCTCGGAGCCACTTTCCCAGGTCCCACAGGGAGAGGTTAAGCTGTTGGTGGTTGGGGATCAGGATGGGGAGTGGGGTGGTTGGGTTCTAACGGTCCCACCTTCTCTTGCAGTGTAGATGCCTCTTGACTGTGCCATGTAGACTTTTTGAAGGCAGACAGGAGTCTGCAGAGAGGTGCAGAGGATGTTGGGCAGTAGCAGGAGGGTGGAAGGCAGGGACAGGAGAGGTGCTTTCTCTCTGTGTTTCTCAGCTCCTCTGAATACCAAGATGGTGCTGCAGATGGTGTTGAGGATGGAGAACCCACCAAGCCCTAAGAGAAGCAATCTCAACCGGGTGCAGAGCATGGTGAGTGCCCGGAGGTTCTCCCCGAAAGGGTGGGGGCAATCTGCTCCTGCCTCCCTGGCTTCCAGGCCCCAGAGTCAGGGAGCAATTTACCGAAGGGGAAGAGAGGCCTGAGCTGAGGTGGAGTTGGTTGCAGTCATGGTTTTAGGGCTAAGGGCCAGGATGCTTGCTCCTGGATACTGACTCTTGGATTTCATATAATTTTCATGTCTTCTGAAATACTGTTATTATTTTTTTTACTTTCTTCAACCACTTAAAAATATTTAAAAAATCTTAATTTGTTAACTGTACGAAACCAGGCAGCAAGACAGATTTGGCTCATAGACCGCAGTTTGCCGTTTTCTGCCCTAAATCATCCTCTGGTTTTACTTTTCTTCTGAGTCCTGGCTTCAGCTCTCTGCCCAGCACTGGAGGAGAGGCCTTGGCCCCCATCCTAGCACATGACGCCTCTGGGAAGAAAGGCAGCATAATCCAATGGAAAGAGCAGGGACTCAGAGCCAGATAGACCTGGGTTCAAATCCTGGCTCCACCACTTATCACCTGGTGACCTCCTGCAGCTCCGTCAGCCTTTCTGAGCTTCCCTTTCCTCATCTGTGCACTGGAGCTTGCCTTGTCGGGTTGTGTGGAAGGGCCTGGTTCTTGGGGGATGTGCAACAAGAGGTAGCTGTTAACTGGGGACCTGTGAAGCTAGAGAGAGAACAGGCCTTCACTTACTGCTCACTGCTTACTGTTCATGTAGGTCCAGCAGTTCCTCCAAACCAGCCTCCCAGAGATGCCCCTCTCCATCTCTGTGAAGGGGACCAGGAAGAGAGCCTGACACCTCTCCTGAAGCTCCCCCGCCGGTCCATGGAGCAGAGCTCACCCTGCCCACCGGGACCTGCTGGGCACAGTGGTGCTTGCCTCCCTGCTGCCATCCCGTGTGCTTCCAATGTGGCTCAACCAGAGGAAAATGGAAATCTGTTATGGTTGTAAACACACTTAAATGTGCATAAAATCAGCCATACAAATTATAAAACATCAATTTGACTCATGCTATTCATTGTTTTGTGATAGTTACAGTGAATCTAGTAAACTTTTTTTTTTAAGAAATTTAATGAACCGTGAAGCACCATTTTTCACCCAAAGTAGATACTAACTGAGCCTGTACAGAAAGACACGACAGTTTTCTGGCCCATCACGGCCTTTGTAATGCTGAACCCTCCCTCACCTGTGCACCTTGGGGTGTGTACTATTTTTTAAAAAATTCTTTATTGTTGAAAGTTTTGCATTTGTTTCCTTTTTCCCCCATTGACCTCTCCCCACCTGCTCCCACGCCCCAGCACATGCCCCCATTCCCCTATTGTCTGTGTCCATTGGTCATGCTCTTATGCATGGATACAAGTCCTTGGGTTGATCTCTTACCCCCCTCCATCCTGCCCCCCAACCCTCCCTGGCCTTCCCGCTGCAGTTTGACAATCAGTTTGAGGCAGCTCTGCCTCTGTATCTATTATTGTTCAAAAGTTTGTAATGGTCTTTATTATCCATGAATGAGTGAGATCATGTGGTATTTTTCCTTCATTGACTGGCTTATTTCACTTAGCATAATGCTCTCCAGTTCCATCCATGCCGTTGCAAATGGTAAGAGTTCCTTCTTTTTTACAGCAGCATAGTATTTGCAGTCATGGTTTTAGGGCTAAGGGCCAGGATGCTTGCTCCTGGATACTGACTCTTGGATTTCATATAATTTTCATGTCTTCTGAAATACTATTATTATTTTTACTTTCTTCAACCACTTAAAAATATTTTAAAAATCTTAATTTGTTAACTGTATGAAACCAGGCAGCAAGACAGATTTGGCTCATAGACCTCAGTTTGCCGTTTTCTGCCCTAAATCATCCTCTGGTTTTACTTTTCTTCTGAGTCCTGGCTTCAGCTCTCTGCCCATCACTGGAGGAGAGGCCTTGGCCCCCATCCTAGCACATGACGCCTCTGGGAAGAAAGGCAGCATAATCCAATGGAAAGAGCAGGGACTCAGAGCCAGATAGACCTGGGTTCAAATCCTGGCTCCACCACTTATCACCTGGTGACCTCCTGCAGCTCCGTCAGCCTTTCTGAGCTTCCCTTTCCTCATCTGTGCACTGGAGCTTGCCTTGTCGGGTTGTGTGGAAGGGCCTGGTTCTTGGGGGATGTGCAACAAGAGGTAGCTGTTAACTGGGGACCTGTGAAGCTAGAGAGAGAACAGGCCTTCACTTACTGCTCACTGCTTACTGTTCATGTAGGTCCAGCAGTTCCTCCAAACCAGCCTCCCAGAGATGCCCCTCTCCATCTCTGTGAAGGGGACCAGGAAGAGAGCCTGACACCTCTCCTGAAGCTCCCCCGCCGGTCCATGGAGCAGAGCTCACCCTGCCCACCGGGACCTGCTGGGCACAGTGGTGCTTGCCTCCCTGCTGCCATCCCGTGTGCTTCCAATGTGGCTCAACCAGAGGAAAATGGAAATCTGTTATGGTTGTAAACACACTTAAATGTGCATAAAATCAGCCATACAAATTATAAAACATCAATTTGACTCATGCTATTCATTGTTTTGTGATAGTTACAGTGAATCTAGTAAACTTTTTTTTTTAAGAAATTTAATGAACCGTGAAGCACCATTTTTCACCCAAAGTAGATACTAACTGAGCCTGTACAGAAAGACACGACAGTTTTCTGGCCCATCACGGCCTTTGTAATGCTGAACCCTCCCTCACCTGTGCACCTTGGGGTGTGTACTATTTTTTAAAAAATTCTTTATTGTTGAAAGTTTTGCATTTGTTTCCTTTTTCCCCCATTGACCTCTCCCCACCTGCTCCCACGCCCCAGCACATGCCCCCATTCCCCTATTGTCTGTGTCCATTGGTCATGCTCTTATGCATGGATACAAGTCCTTGGGTTGATCTCTTACCCCCCCCCCCCCCCCCCCCCCCCCCCCCCCCCCCCCCCCCCCC